ATTAAATTATAATAGCGATTCATTACTATACTTTCAAGTTATAGAAAGTAGATACATTATTTTTATGAAGAAAAACTATAAACTCCAATATAAAATGCACCACTAGAATTAGACTGACACAAGTCTCAATTCAAAATTTATAGTTTTGAGAAAATTTTGAAAAATTTAAGAATTTAAGATATTTCTACAAATTTTACAATATAACTTTTTCAAATATTATGAAATACATTTTTAAATCCAAAAAGTTAGACTTGTGGCCTCACAATTTTTAAGTAAATGCAACATTCAAAACTGCCATATTTTAGGATGTTGCTGTATTGCATGCCTACATAAATTGATTTCAAGACAGCCATAATAGGTATACTAAAATATGGCAGTATTGAATTTCATATTATGGCAACAATATTACAAACTATAAAATGCAATAGATCTTGCCACAACTCTAAATATTGATGTTTTTTACTCAACATACAACCCAAATCCTGTCTATAAATTGTCTATAATCTAAAAAATACCAGCTTACACATAATATGGTGTACCTATGTTAAATTTATACATTTATCAAAATCAAGGAATGTTTTATAATATAATTCATACAAACTTATAACTACAATTTTCTACCAATAAGTATKCTCTTAACAAGTGATATAAATTCTGCACCGACAGACTACACCTATAGTAGTGCCTATGATATTCAAAAATTTATATTTTGTATTATTAAGTACAATGAATACATAATGTCAAAATTAAATAAATACAATTTTTCAATTTTCAGTTATAAGTACTCGTATTAATGTATCCATGAGGGTTTTAGCTGTAATTTATGAGTATTAACCAAATACGCGTATCTGGTTTTAAAAGTCTGTCTTTTATGCTCTATGTTTGTTATTACAAGTGCTTAAGTGTGTATTTAATAATTACTTTAATATTTAAAGACATTATGTAGGTAACGATACTATCTAGTTCTCAATGCCTTAATAGCATAATGTACATTTATGGATTTATAATGTACCTATACAATTTTAAATAATAGGTACGGTTGTATGTTGATTTTCTAAATAATGTTTACAGATATGATATAATGAGCAGCTGTTGKGCAGAAGACCAATACAGAAGACCTAGTTTCAAATCATTAACAACGTCACTGGAAGAAATGTTGGAAAAAGGAAACGATTACTTAAAGTTAGATTTCAAACAAATTGTGAATAACATGTGTTACTTTATGGATGGTAAATTTTTTTATTACAGTCACATATGACTGAAATTATTTGATGACAAAATGACTGATTTTAGACGATGAATTAGCAAATCAAAATCAAACTTCAGCTGAAAATACAGAGAAAGAAGTGAAATATGAAATTCCTAAACCTATTAACGAAATTGGAATGGCATATGTAACAATGAAAGATTTTGTATTTGATCCAGAACAGCAACCAGCACAAATTGTGTGAAGTTTTTAAGAATATGATTTTGTGCCAAATTAGAGTTACCCAAAAATACTAGTCAAATWTTAAATGATTTAATATTATTAAAAGGAGAACCTATCAATATCTTTTACATACAAACATTTAATCTAACAAATTTAAATTATAAATTACGCTTCCAATTACCAAATTAAAATTTATTAAAATATGTTTTATTGTAAGAAATTATTATTTGTAATACAAAAACATTAACTTTAGGTTTAATTTTAGTTAAATACAACTGTTTTAAAATTTTCTTATTTAGTTATTTAAGTTCCTATCAATAAAATATTATAATTTATAGTTAATAAAACAAGTATGAAATTATATAACAGAATAGTATAGATACCGAACCTAATTCATTTCTTTTAAAAAAAAAATATCCACTTGTCCCTAATTATCTCTATTGTTTTCTATTTTTAATCTAAAAACTTTTGTGGTTATAAATATAGATGTACATTTCAATATTATATAGCTATATTGCTATATAGGCATATAGCTATATATATATAAATAATTGTGCGGTAAAAGATAAATACACAACTTAACACAACAATTCGTACTTATAATGAGTAACCCACTTGTAACTTCTGTACAGCAGAGCGACATCCACGAATTACTCACCTTTTTTTAAATGTTTTTGTTGACAAAGAAATTCACTTATATAGGTACCTATAAGAATCTAACATTGTCACATTGATCTATTGGTTCCTGAATGTCTTTTATTTAATTCTTTAGTCGATAATACGAACGGAATCGGTATTTTCCGGCCGTTGAAGTACGACAATCGAAAATATTGTTTATAATATCTTTTAGATTTATACCTATAAATAAATAATAATAAGTTTTTTTAATGGGTTGGGACTGTTGGGARTGTGTGGCAAGATACATGTTGTCCCTGTCCTAAATACGCCAATGTATAGTATATTAATTATTAATATGACATCTATGTGATAATCACACTCAAAGATATAGATAATATACCCTGTGATCAATCCAGTCGGAAACCGTAATATTCATGTTAGTACAGCGCTGGGGTAGGTTTTGCGCGCAGATTTTTTTCGTGGGCCCAAAAAATGTTTTTTCATAATGTACAAAACATTTTCTTGTCACGTCCTAATATTTATCTATATGAAATTTTGTTGTATTTAACATAACTCGCCTAAAAATATTTATTGGAATTGATGTGCACATAACCAATTAAATTGTTTTCAGCTAATATTTTTAGACGTCGCCGTCCCGCGTTGACATTATAATTTATTTTTACTCGCACTCTTTAACAAATTATAATATTATTATATATTTATATTCCGATTATCWGCTGATAACGTTCGTCGATCATTACCGTAAATTCAAAACAACAATCGTGTTTCTGTCATGTATTCATCAAATTATTCGTAATATAATATTATATTTGTTGCATTATTTTTATTCTCGGATATGCACTTCATTAAAAACTCACAAACCACCACTGCAGACGACACTAGTATTTTTAATTTGAAAAACAAAATTATAGACTTACAAATCATCAAATCCGATGAAAGGTACCTACGGGGCCCCTAAAATGGCGAGAACAGCTGCCTCCTTCTGCCCTGCTCTTCCACCGGTGCAGGTTATGCCTTATGCATCACCAAGCTATTATTCGGAGTAATACCAAACTTTTACGAATCATGGTTCATGGAGGAAAATATTATGACCAACGACGACTACCACCAAAAGTCATCAGGACCAAAATGCCATGTTATTTTCCCTCGCTTGTACCGATTACCGAATCTATGTCGGTCATCGAAGTATAGAAAGAAAAATTGTCGATTCATCGTAAGAAGGCCAATAATTATAATATTGACAGATAATATTATAATAATTTAGTCCATAGCTGTAACAATAAAATTAATATAGTTGTTGTTGTTATTTTTTTTTATCCGTTCGCAACGAATCATTTTTCAACGAGCGATACTGTGTAGAATTAAAAATACTTAAATATCTCTAACGACTAACGGTGTATTTCTATATAATTCGTATATACGCCATAAAAGGTAAGCGATATTAGAATTTTACATAATATTATATATTTATATTCATACTGTATGACTTGTACGAGTATACTATACGTCAATATACTACAATTTCCTAACAATTATTGCCAAGCCTAGTATAATGGCTACTAACGTTTAAAAATAAATTATTATTTTGATTAGGTATGCAAATTTATCAGTACTACTAACGTCCAAGTAAATCAATAAACGATTTTCTCGACGTCTAAATTGATACGATAATTTGTTTCTGTTTCTATACAGTTCTATACATACATAATGGAATCAATACAAAGTCGATTACAGTTTAATATGTATTATATAATAATTGTTTTTCAATTAAAATTTATTATATTTGTATACATATATACCTTTATATTATATAGATTATTTTAAATAGAACAATAATTAATATTTTCAGCAAAAAAAAATGTCTGATAATTTCGAGCAAACTAACACTAGTAATCAAACGACGAATACGTCTTTACAAAATAAATATGAAAACTATGACTGTGTAGTTGAAGAATGCAATAGGCTTAAATCTGAAATGGATAAAATAAAAATTAATCTTTGTTTAGCATTAGATCGTAAATTTAATGACAATGAAGATATTATGCATTTGATTAATGTTTGCGCCGCGTTAGCTCCATGTAAAAATGAATATAATTACATTTCAAAGGAAAACGATAAGTTGAAAYCTAAGTTAAGTAATTATTATGATGAAATTCAACAAAGCGTAGAGAAGTTAAAAGAAGAACTGTATATAAAAGATCTAAAAATATCGCAATTGAAAGACGATATACGTTCAATTAATGAAGAAAAAAATAAACAATTACAAGTATTGCATGAAAATTTAGCAGAGTTTCCTGAAAAATGTATCGATCAAAGCGTCCATGGCGCATTTGATTGTTCGCAAAATAATAACGAATTGTACGAAGGCAAAATGTTGATTGCTGAACACATTAATCAAATCCAAGGAACTACTGATTTTAAATCTGAAAACATAAAATTGTGTGATTTAATCAATATGCTTGCTAGATTGACAGCCGATAAAGAAGAACATTTAAAAACAATTAACAGATGTTTAATTAGAAACATTGAAGACAAAAATCTACAACTAATAAAAGAAATTGAAGATCAAAAAAAATGGCAGAAACATTTGGAAAACGAAAACGAGAAACTAAATTMTGAATTTGAAGACAAAAAACTGGTACAACAAATGTTAATTTGCAAACAAAACAAACATAAGAAACTTAACGAAGATTATGAAAAAATGCAATTAATGTACGATGAACTAAATAAGAAAAACACACACTTAATATCGTTGCTCGACGACCATCGACAACAATTGGCCGAGAGGAAAATTAAATGTGTCGATAACGATAATCTAATTAAAACGCTTCAATCGAATTTAAAAGAACAGACGAATAAATGTGAAATTGCGATTGCAAAATACAAAAACGAAAAAGAAAAATGTCAAAAAAACGAAATTTACACAAAACAAATGGTGGAAGAATTTACAGACTGCCTCAGCGAAAAAGAAATCAACGTCGCATTGGTACGAAGTGAGTTAAATGATTTGAAACAACACATTAAATCAGAAGAAGACTACATCGGAAATTTAARACACGAAGTTATTACGTTAGGGTATGCATTGGACGAAAAAAATAAAACCATACAAGAGATGTCAAAAGCCCAAAGTAAACAGCACACAGCAACGCCGCGGTYCTCTTCGTTGATATCCGATAATCAATTGCACATTATGAGTAAATTAGAAGAACAAATGGACCAACTACTAGACAGCTGTTTTGCCTGGAATAAGACTATAGTCGGTTATGAGAAAGTGTTGTTCCACATGCAAAATTCCATCCAACAACAGTCCGACAAAGGAAACAACCGGATATCTATATACCAACACCTTAAAGATATCGAGTACAAACTAACGTTGACGGAAAATTTAGCCAAAGAAAAGGAAGTTATTATATTCCAACTACAAAATGAGATGGAAGATATAAAAGAAAAATGCAATTTAAAAATCACACACATGGAAGGTTTGTCTAAAAATATAACACTGTAATTATGTTATAATATAATTACAATATAATATAATAATTATATTATAACATTAAATTACATTGTAAAAAATTAATATTAATATCAGTTTTTAATTTTCAGACACAGAAGTTAATTTGAGAAATGAAATTTGCAATTTAAAGGAGAGTTTAAAACTGAAAAGTTCGCATTTAATGATAGCCGAAAAAATAGCAAGTTTACAGCTAAAAGAATCTCTAACTACTATTGACCAGTTAACTAACACCTGTAACATTCAAGTATGTGCATAGATAATCAGAAATAACTAAAAACTAATTATTGTAACATTATCACAACATTTTAGTAGTTTCTATATAGTGCTTGAATTAAAAATAAAATAGAAGAGGTTGCAAAAAGTTGTGTGAACCTAAAGATTAATATTATTCATTGAGATTAATATTAATTAGAAAGACTACCTACACTAAAATGTTTTTTAAAAATGCATGCACTGGATAAGATATATGCTTAAAATAAGAAGGAAGTAAGAAACAGCTGTGTTGTTAAATATAAAGTAGGTAGTAGAACTAGTAGAAGTCARTCTACTATCTATAATGTTATTACCCCAGCATAGATKAAGTCGTTGCTATGAATCATGAAGTTAAATTTAAATTCAAAAATAATTGATAACAGCATACCTACGAAAAATAATTCCAAGTGTAGACAGACTGTCGACCTATATTTCTAAAAACATTTTATTGTATTCCCTTTCACCGAAAATCAATTTTATATTACGGATAACCTTAAAGATTAAAGAGATTGATATTTTATTTTTCGACTTCAATTCATATCAACTTCCAAAATAAAAATAAAATTTTGTGAGTATAAAAATTCTCTATAATTTTTACTAAGATATTTCAAAAACATAATAAACAGTACATTGACATCCTATTAATAACTAATAAAGATTMAAAATTATACCATGTACTAACCTATTAAAATTGACTGAATATTTAATTCGGATTTTACTGCTTCAAAAGGTGACAGATAAAAAAAACACATTCATGAAAAATCTTTAAATCTTATTAACATATTCACACAARTATATGATTTAAGGTAAAATCTACGCATTCATGACTGCAGAATCTAAAAATGTAGTTGTACCTTTTAGTATACTAAATTAGTTAGTCGAAGTATTAGAGTACTGTTACATTAATTAAAATAATACAAGATCATTCCATCCAAATCATGGTTTCAGGTATTTAATAAAATTAATAGACAACCGTATTGCTAATTTGTGATTTTCAGAAATGCTCTGTTATATAATTAAGAAATTATCATGGTCCCTGGGGAAGGATATAATCTACATTTATGTATTTCAATACTAACAAAGATTTAAAATTAAAATTTTTATCATAATCAGTACATAGTTAAATTCCCTTAAAAAAACGTTTAAGTACAGTGTATAATTTATAAATACTGTAACTAAATTATACATGTTTACATAGAAAATGTGTTAATAATTATCTGTTCATTTCAGTTATTGAAATTAAATGACATACAAAATAAAACTCCCCAAAGATGCTGCAATACTCATGTATCTAAAACCAATAAYAGATTTCAGGTGAGATTTTAAACAACTATTCTGAATARCTCAATATAATAACACAGCATTAAAATATAAAACTAATTTAACATTTAATTTTGAACAGCAAATGGAGGCTTTGGTTGACAACATGTTGAAACTTAGTTTGGAGAATAAATTAATGAAAAAACTTTGCAAAATTCGAGAGGAAAAAATTAATTCACTTGAAAACAGTCCTAATAGATGTACAAGGCCATCAATAAAGAGATCATTTTTATTAGAATCCAATACTAGTATAAAATTACACTAAGCCGTTGACCGAGATCATGTAATGTATATTATCAATTTTGTAGCTTATACTTTTTATTTTTCATTAAAGCTCTTACCTCAGTACTGTTAATATTTTAATATAACATAGTTACGTTAATTTTTTTCGTTCAATCAAATTTATATCAACAGGTTGCTTTTTATTTTTGTTAAATTTCTTACCTCCGTACTGTTAATATTTTAATATAACATAGTAAAGTTATGTTTATTTTTCTAATTATATCAAATTTAAATGTTAATAAATATCTTATAGTAATGAATTTAATGGATATAAATAAATGTCAATAGTTACTATTTAGTATTTTTATTTGAATATCAGTCAAAATAATGGTTCAATTTTGAACTCTATACACCTAGTATTCTTATTTTAAAAAGAATTAACATAATAAATCTTACAAATATGATTAATTTAATACCACGTCAATTATTACACGTCCAAGTACTCGGTAGATATTAATTAACCATTTATTTGAATAGGAAATTTATTAGAGTCAAATGACAATTACACATACACTCTTTTTTAAAATTATTCACAAGACAATAATTATCATTAAAAATATTAAATTTTAATTTGTTTTGTTACTCACAATGGAAATTGAGTAACTAGTTAAAAATATGGGAATAGGACACAATATTTAATTGCTGCTTACACCATAGGTCACAATTAACCATTTAATATAACACAGTTAATATTGTATTACTTAAAAACAGTAAATTTATAATAAATAAAAACTAAATGCGCTGAGCTGTAGCAACTGACAATATGTATTAAGAATATTAACAAATCAAACATCATTTTGTACTAGAATTATTTACAACAATTAATTAATTGTGAACTACAATACTGTCTAGACAACAAAACATTGATGACACGTGTGTGTGTGTATATATATATATATATATATATATATTAAATTATATCAGATTATATATACTTATTTTACTTAAATGGGGTAAAATAAATTGACATTACAATTTTTTTTTATTTAATGTTAAACATAAACTTAAAACATATTTTCAGTGGCTAGAAAGTTCTTAAAAAATTCATTAGTTGGAATGAGAAACAAAAAAAAATTTCCTAAACTTTGAAACACACCGAGAATACAAAATAGAAAAAACCAACACGAGRTACTTATTAGATTATCTTATCATTTAATCAAAATGTTTATACAAAAGTAGCTTAAATTTTAAACGATAATATATAATGTATATATATATATATATGTATATATATATTTAGAAGACAAACCTATGAACTAAATTACAATTCAGTATTTCAATTTTTATTTTGTAAATATTATTTATATATTTACTTATACTTAAGTAGTATTTAATTTATTTAAAAAAAAAAAAGAAATTATTGCATTTATAATCTATTGTAAAAAAAAAACCCATTATGTAAATAGTCGGTGGTCGAGTTAGTTTTGAGTAATCCAGTCAAGTGTTACCTAAAGTTTAGAAACTTTTTTTTCACAAGTACATGCTCAAAACTTGAATGATAGTGAGTGACTAGAGACTAAGAACATGTACACAAGACAAATTAGTAGGAATATCGTGTTTAAGTTTAAAAAAAATCAAATTTTGTCTTAGTCACTCAGTAGCAAAAAAGCTTTGTATTACATATTATGTATAAAAAAAATTACATTTTGGAATCAAATTCTATCGAACGGAGTTACCGAGTACATGCGGCACTATGTATAAATTATATAAAATTAAGAGACTTGTTCAATTGTACATTATGTCAGTTTACACATCATCTTCTTCTTCTACACCATCTACATCGTCTTCATCGTCTTCTGAACAACCTGAGAAAATAGTGCATTGTGAAATAACTAGATTATTAGGAATTTTTAATATAGTAACATACCATCAGCTTCATCTAGATCATCTTCACCTTCGGCAAATTCCTCTTCTTCATCTTCTTCGCCTTCAGGTTCYTCTTCTTCATCTAGGTCTTCCTCACCATTTTCTTCTTTTTTCAATTTTTTCACTTCTTCTGATTTTTCCTATAATTTATCACCGAGCGATTAAAACAATATTTATATTAGGTACATAACAAATCAAAGATAAATGGAATAATAATTATATGTACACACGATTTAATATCAGACTATAATAGCCCAACCTGATTGCAGAATTATAGAATACTGGCGATTTAGGCGACACATTACGTCATTACGTCCTGAAAAATGGCGTCGTCAACTAGGAATGAACGCACGTTTTGAAAATATATTATGTGCGAACGAAGCAACTAAATGTCGAGTCTTCGGCTTCACGTAGACATCGAGCTCGTATAGTGACAATAATAATATGAGATGGATATAAATATATATTTTTATAAAATTAAAACCTTTTTTCCCCCCTACCGACCCCACCAATATCAGGGCGATGGCCGCGAATCGYGATGGATCAGTAACGCGTCCGTGTACTCGGCGTATCTGTAACGCGCGAAAAACACGCGTCCTAGACGACGGTCGGCCGGTTCCCCCGCCACAACACATCATCACCAACGTCGGCAATCCGTTACGGAAAAGCAGCTGCGGCGGCGCGTTCAAGCGGTGTGCGGATCGGCAAGTACTCGTGGAGAGTACGATGAGCGAAAAGTAATTTTTCGGTATAATAAAAAAAAAAAAGGCCGCCTCCAAGTTATTAGAACAATAACCATACACGCGCCACAATAATGAGCACTTTATTAATAATGTAAGAATAACCCGAGACGCGTGTTTGCGGCGCTTGTAATTAGACAGCGTTTTATGGTCAATTTCTCGTACGAGAAAACGAGCACTATGGCGGGGGTGCCGCGCCACTGTTCCGACGCCGACNGCTTAAGATTATAGATGCGGTGTAATACGTTATTTAATATAAAATAGACAGTAATATATGGGTACATACTAAGGGCGGGTGTGCTTATGGTTGATGGGCGGGAGGGGGGTTAAAAAGAGACCGGGTAAACAACCGTCGGTGTGCCGGAAACAAACAACACGATGCACGGCGTCACCGAATGTCGGAATACCTACGACAAGCCTAGGTGATTGGTGAAGGTGATAATCACGTCGATGATGATGACGATGGCGGCGGCAGTACCGCAACCGAAGTTTTTTAAACGGTATCAGGACAATAAACCACTCGGCGGACGATAAAAATTGAGATATGAAAGAAAATAATAATAATACGACGATAGGCTCGATTGAGAAAATCGTGTTCGAAATATAAACGAATGAAAAAATGTCGAGTGGCCGCGAGTTGAGAAACACTCGAGTGCGTTACCATTAAGGAAGGACGCGATGAAAAAAACCACACGCACGCTTAACGCCGATGGTATAAGACCGCGAGGGTTAAAAATGGCGGGCATGTGGTGAGTTTTGTAATCGCCGCGCGGCGGCGGCGCCGGGCGCCGGTAACCGGCAACGCGGTGACGGTTGCGGCGGCCCGTGTCGATATTTCGAAAATTAGGGAAAACGCGCGCGTAACGGACGCGCCGGACCCGTAGAATACGCGCAAATTCATTGAACATTTAGACAAGTCTCGATGTCGAACAATATGATAGATATTGTAGTTAAAACGACCGCCGATGGGTTAATTAAAAACAAAAATATATTGAATAACAGACACAATACAATTAAAAAAAAAAAAACACTGTCAGGGATACTTACGTCTGCTGTTCTTTTGGTGCCCTTAAGATCGGCCTTGGCGTCCACAACATCATCGGCAATCTTGTCTACGGCGACGTCGTTCTTGGCTTCTTTCGTGCTCATTTTTGRTTTTGAAATTWAAAAAAATTTAAAAAAATTTTYAAAAAACGTACGATTCGCGACGTTTGAAATATCGATGGGAATAACGCACCGGTGCTGTAAGCGTGTGCTTGTGGTGGATAGAAAACTTGGTCACACGGACTTGTGGACGGAAATAATCGTGAAAACGAATAAAAACCAAATGTTATGCACGCGGGTCGGCACGGATAGCGAACACAGCACACGGACGATCGGACAAACGAGCAGCGAATACGGCCCAAGCGAGTGGCGTTCTTTGTTTGTGAAGATGGCGCGTGCTGGTGGGGCCGGACGTTGCTGATTTTTAAAAATCCGTTTACGACGGTTCCTGGCCGTTTAAAACCCCAAAGACGGTTGTTAAATCTTGAGGATATTTTTTTTAACTTGCTAATGTTTTTTTTTTGTTTTTAAATGGCCCACGGACGAAATCCGAGAAAAATCGAGAGGGGTTTGAGATTAAAACCGGAGGCCCACGACAATGGTGTTGAGATTAAAGCAATTGTGAGCGCGTTCTCGCGGACGCTTCGGGCGTTAATATTGAACAAAAAAAAAACACGCCGTGGAGGACGGTGTTTTTATAAATTTTTATACTAATTCAAAACATTGTACTAATTTCGGAATCAACAATAATTTATAACACACCGTAGTTCTGTACTTACTACTTACTAATAATATTATAGTATATTATTATGTAGTCGAACGCACACGATATGAATATTATAAAATTACAGTCATCGTGGGCCGATTGGGTTCTCATATGTCATTACTTTTAATTTTTTTTTCCATCACGTTCGCAACCAACGAAAARTTCGTTTTTAATCATACACGTACCGGCACGACTTTCGGCAAACGCAACACTTTGTCGTATTAATCGTATCATAGACTTATAGTATTATTATTGTTATAAAACGTGTTTCATGTTTTGTACACACTTTCGTCGTTTTACCGTAATCAATTTGTTATACAGCCGTAGATAGCTCGTCTTTTCAAATAATTTTAATTATTGGGTACCTACTTATTTTATTTAGGTACATCTGGGAATTTTCAATTTCAATCTAAAATCTAAATACACATTGTAGCCCAATAAAATTAAAATTACAGCGATCGATATGTCTATGTAATAYATAATTTACCAATTGGCAATACGTGTGCGTAAAATAATATGGTAACTACAATAGGTTCGCGGGGGCGCCGACAGTCGGCACACTACAATAGTATAATAGTTCCTTGGTCGGACGTAAACATTACACACTTCGACGATGGCCGGCGGGTGGCTACTATACAGTT